AGCCTGGTGGCACACAGTGATTCCGGTTGGTGACACTGGATGACCACGGGACTGAAATTACCTGGCAAACCAGCTGCTTCTTCTGCCTGAGGTTTTCGGTCAGAGACTGGCTGTGTGTCACTGCTGCCCTTCTGCAGCGGCTCCTTCTGCACAGTCTCCTGGTCAGTCGCTTTAGTCCTGCCATGCTCAGCCTTCCCTATTTTCATCACGGGTTTTCATCACATTTCCAACTCTAATTGTCCTTTCTGACCAATCTAATTTTCTGGGCCTGGCTTCTCTCCCTCCTTCGTTCATCCATTCATCCAGTTCTAGGTGGTGCTTCTTGGGCGGCATCTAGCAATGAGGGGAAAGCTACATTTCTGCACAGCCTAATGCCTCATTTACTTTAGTCAGAAGTGCTGCATCTCTTTCTTCAGTATATGTTAAGAATACGTTGCAACACAGCCCGTCTTTCTAGCTGTGGGATGAGAGGGTGAGAGCGAGCTGCCCTGGGCTCCCACAGTCTCCTCTTGATGTCTGTTTGCAGCGTGCTGCCGCTCTGTCCAGGCAGCTCCTGCATTACGGAGACAGCGGATCCCTGCGAAGCAGCTCATGCAGCCCAGCGCAGCCCAGTCCGGCACTCCCTGCAACGGAAGGCTCTGAGAGAGCGCTGCAGGTAGCGATCCCGGCTGTGCCGCGCTGCAGAGAGCGCGGACAGGATCTGCGCAAATCCTGCGTGCGGATCGATACCTGCAGAGCCTTCGGGGAGCCTTTCTTTTCCCATTTCTGCCGGCTCCCTCAGCACCCCGACAGGGACCGAGGCCGATCCCGATCGCAGCTCTGTCTCTGCGGTCCCGCAGATATTCCGGAACGCGTGGCGCTACGGGACGAATCGGACTGTTCGGGGTCCGCCTTCCAGAAGGAAACGGGGCGGGCAGGGCTGCGCGGAAAGCCTGGAGGGCAGCGAGGACTCGCATCCGCCTCAGGTACCGGCAGGGACCGACCGACACCGAGGAGAACGGCCGGGGCGCGAGGTCGGCAGAGCTCACGGGGTGGGAGAACGACGGGCGCCAAGCGGCAGGGCAGCGACCGGGAGGAAAGGCTGGCAACAGCCCCCGAGGGAGAAGAGCGGCGGGCAACCGTGGGCTGGCAAGGCTGCGTCCTGATTACCGGACCTGCTGCGGGGCCGTTGCCAGAGGGGCTCCAGGAAACAGCCCCCGCGCTCCCGGCCGACTTTGCTGACGCTGTCTCCTCCTTGGCAGCGGTTCGACGAGACACGCACTTGGGTTCCACGTCTTCCAGCGCAGCCCAAGCGACAGCGGGTGGAGAGGAGGTGGAGGAAGACCGACGGTTTTCTGTCGGCAGAGGTGACGGGAGCAGCGGCCAAGCCAGTTCTCCGGGCCGAGTAAGTGTGCGTGGGCTCCGCCCGCAGACTCCGCAGCTCGGCTACGGCCGCAGCCCGGGCCGAGGGGACGCGCGGCACCAGGGGTTGGGGGAAAGAGGCGGAGAGGGCCTCGGCGGAGCCGCGGGGATCGATCCCTTTCTCCTCCCGTCGCAGCCCCTCTTCCCCGCGAGCAGTTCAGGTTTTGAGAAGACCGGTGCCGCCCTTAAGCCGGCAGAAGGCTTTCGCCGGCGCTGCCGCCAGAAACGGGTGGGGAGTAAGAGCAGGAGCGGCGGCCACCCCCGGAAGCTCCGCGGGCAGCGGATCTTCACTGTTATCAATTGAATAATGGACAAAACGTCAAGAAGCCAATAATTGAATTTATTGATTATAACGAGCAAAGAACAAAGAGGCAATGCAGCTCTGGGCGACAGAGGACTCTACGTTCCACCAACTGCCGCAAGGTTTGGATCGGCACGCGGTCCTTTTGTGTCCTATTGTGGTGTACTCTGCACATGATCCCGTTGTTACTAGGGGGTCTTATTCTGCCTCCTGGCGGCCGCGCGGACCGAAGCAAGCAGTTTTCCTCTGTATCCCCCCCCCCGACGCCTTCTGGTGATTTCCATCCATGGCACGTCACTCGCACTGGCGAATCCCATTGGCCGCTGTGCACTCGCTAACCCCCAATCATACCCGTGCAAGTTCCCTGCCTGCGCGAGGAAACATGAAAGCAAACAAGCCACTCGGCAGGGAAGTGGGGGAACAAACACAAGGGGAGGGAGCAAAGATCGACCATGTTGCTTTGCCCATCAGCCCTGGACAAACATTCCTCCTCTTTGACACTCACGGCCCGAGTCTCGCCCGCAGCGCTCGGCCGTCGCGGTCCGTATGCTGCTCCCGTCGCGCGGTGGTGCTGCCCGGCGGGGAAGGTGCTGGGAACGGCGGCGGCGGAGCTGTCGGCAAGGGAGCCGAGAAGCAGCCCGACAGCGGAAAGCCTCTGAATGGGGAGTGAAGAGCCGTGGCGCCGCTCCCGAGCAGAATGCTGGTGTCGTGTCATTCGTCATCTGTAACCGTGAGGAAGCCGGAGCTCTGAGAGGAATCGGGGCTGCAACGAGAGCATTTCCCAAGTCCCGGGATGCCTGCGCTGTCCCGAGTGCGGTTCCTGCGATGATCTCTGCCTCTGGGTGCAGTCACACAGCTACCTCCAGCAACAGGAGCTCCATGGGAACGGGAGGGCACCTGGAAGGCCTCACCTTTCCTCAAATGGCCCGGGAGTGCACGTGTCTGCAGCAGGGACCTTAGGTGGGCATGTTTGTAATTGAAGCCAGGGAGTTTTGTACCACATCTTACACTGGCAACCCCAAGATTAGTGTTCTTCCTCTGAAAAAGGAAATTACATTGGTTTTACTGACAGCATCAAGACCACATTAAATTTCACTGGAACAGCTGTACTGTGAAAAAACATTTTCCTTGATACAGGGGCATGGCTGGAGGGGAGGGGGAGTTCCAAAGTGTGTGGGGGGGGGCATGCAGGGACAGTACCCACAGTGGGAGGCAGATGGCTCAAACTGGGTGGGCACAGCTGCATTGGGGGACGCAGATGGCCTTCACTGGGAGGAAACTGAATATAGGGGGACTGGATTACTCAAATTGGAGGGCACAGCTGAAATCGGGGTGTAGGTGGTCTAAAACTGGAAAGCAGAGCTTGATATGGCGGGGGAGGGGGGTAGATGACCAAAACTGGGGGGCAGATGGGGCTCAACACTCAAGCTGGATTCAACACTCAAGTTGGAGGGGATCCACAGGGATCACAGAATGGCAGGGGCTGGAAGGAAGCTCTGGAGATCCCTGCAAGAGAAGGTTCCCTACAACAGGTCGCACAGCTAAGCATCCAGCAGGGCTGGGAATATCTGCACAGAAGGAGATTCCCCCACCTCTCTGGGCAACTTGTTTCTGTGCTCTGTCACTCTGACAGGAAAGTTATTCCTCATGTTTGTACGGAACTTCCTATGTTCCAGTTTTCCCTGTTGCCCCTTGTTCTATTGCTGCACACCAGTGAAGAGAGCCTGCCCCCCTCCCCCAGCAGTGCAGCACTGTGAGGCTCTGGGAGCCCTGCCACAAGTGCAGGAGTTAATGTGATTTACTGTGAATTTAGGAATCAGTAAGAGTGTTAAGAACAAATAATTAAAAAAATCCCAATCCCCCTTTTTAAATGGGGAGAGGCTAGAAAAAGAAATATTAGACTCCATTCATGACATTTAATTTAGCAGCAAACCAAAAAGCCCAAACATAATGGTTATGCCAGAGAAATGACTAATATTATTCGGAAAATAAGGACACTACAGAACCTAAAAAAATAAGTTGGAGCTATTCCACCAGCCACCAAATTCTTACATAGATTAAATAGGATGGAGACCTATGCTATTCTAAATCAAAAATCTATATATGAAGCCTGCTTGCATTACTTTTTTTCTCATCTTGAAAAGATTGAATTTGGCCAGTAACTGTGGGAACGTAAGGAAAAACTGTTCAGAGCAGCAGCTCTGGAGTCGGGGGGCTGCACAGAGCAGCAGCTGCAGAGCAAGATAAGCGGAATGAGAACCAAGGACACCTTCAGAAGAAGAAAGAACATCTCACGGCTCTGATTGGCTAAGCACCTGTGTGAACGGTTGAGGAGTGTTTTGCAGAATGCTCTGTTAACATGTATAAATAAAGTAGTGCTTAACAATAAAGCAGACAAATGCCACTTCAAGGGTATTAGAGGAATTTCCAATCATGAGCTTCGCTTTTGCAATATGTATGAGCTAATTATTTCATGTATAAATAGCCACGATATACTTAATAAAGTTGAGACCTGTTGATCATGATAGCATGAGACTTGTCTCCCGTGGTCTTTCCTCCGACAAATGGTGACCCCGACGTCCGGACATCACGCTAAGAGAGAGGGACTACGTTGGGTTCAGGTCCCGCAGCTCGACGGACGGCGACAGAGAAAAAAATTTTGTGGAACTCCGCGCCCCGAGCGACCACAGCGGTGGGACTCAGCCGATACGTGCTGCCGAAGCTTGGAGGTCTGCAACGGTACCGACGTGAGTATGGACAGGCAAGCAGCATATGAATTATTTACCGTCTTCTTGAGGAAGCGGCAGTTTAAGGGAACAGATTTAGATAAGGATCTCCCTGTATTGTTAAGCCATGCAGTTTCTGATGGGTTTTTTACGAACCCCCATTCAGTACACACTTTGGAAGAGTGGAGACGTTATGGGGATAAATTGTGGGAATTAGTTTTAGATGAGGATAAGCCAGCAAAAAAGATGACTAAGTTATGGAAAGCGGTTCATAATGAGTTGTTGATGTCCCAGGCCGAGAAGAGGGCGGCACAGGGTGCTCAAGCGGCGCAGCAGCAAAACCTTGATCATGGGCTCAGCCATTACACCCCCCCTCCTCCTTCCTCTACGGTGCTAACTATACCGCCACCCGTATCTAA